GCTCTTCCATGCATTGCCTCCTTGTTTGGGCGAGGAAACGGCTCTGTGGGCTGACTCAGAGATATGCCCATGTGTGAACCAGCCAGAAAACACAACAGCCGGTCATAATGGCTGCCACCCAGACTAGAAAGAAGGAGGGTCTCTTCCCCAACGCTGGGGACTTACTTTACTTTTAATTTTAACCAGAGCCACGCATTCTTCACATTTCCTAAACCCACTGTAAAACTCAGTCAAAATCATTTAACAAGATCAAAGTCATCAGGCAGGGCAGCAGGATCACATGCGCAGACCTCATTTCCCTAAAACAGGCTTTTAGCAGTCCTGCTGCTCAAGCCCTGAAAGGCCAGCTTTGTTTTATTTTGTCTTGACTTACTCCTTTATTAGGATAAGGATGTGAAAAAGCTGCCTTGAACTTTATCGTTACTAATTAGAAGGTCACATTATGAAATATTACAGCAGATGAAATCCTCAGGAAATAGGAACCAAGAGCCATTCTTGCAGGGTCAGCATGCAGAAGGGGAAGATGAACAAGTTGGCTCCTGAACTTCAAGAGCAGCCCATTGGCAGAGCACAGGAGTGTCCATCCTTGAGGATCTTGCCAGCATTTCTGGAAGGTCAAGTAAAACATGCAGGAAACTTGGAATAAGATTTAAGACAAACCTAAATAAGAATTCAGCAAAAACTTCTTTCCTCTCAAGATATAAATGGTCCAAGATAACAAACATGCTGAATACATGGAAAACTATAAATTAAACCCTAAAGACACAGCACACAAAATAAGAAGTCCCGAAGTTATTATGGAAGTGAAAATTAAAGGTTTAGATGGGAAGGAGCAATGCAAAGAACAAAAACAAAAACAACAAGCTCAAGAAATACAAGTCAAAACAGTGAACCCAGTTAAACAACAGTAAAAAAGCATTCCAATGGGAAAGGAGAACAACACTTCAAAACTGCTTGACTGTCCATACCACAGCTTACTGGTGCTGTGATGAACACGCCAAAAAGAGACTCAAATAAGGAAGCAATCTGAAAAGCTGGGGGACCAACGCTACCAAGTTCTCCGGCTAATGCAGGAAAAAGCTGTAGCAGGCACTCTGGGGTTCGAAAATAATGTAGGAGGGAACTGTTGGATGCCCAGATGTTAACAGCTTGCTGAAATGGAGAACCCACACCTGAGGGCTGGAGGAGTGCTGTTTAGTGTCAGTCTTCAAGAAGAAAGCAAATATGACAATATCGAAGTAATCACATGCTGCTGAGTCAGATTTCTTTCTCTAGTCAAAAAGGGATTGAAGAGACAGGTGAGTGAGGACAGGAATATTTGAATGAACATATATAGGTTCTATATAACAAAATAGGGTGACATGCAGAAACTGAAAACAAACCACGCTGGTGTGGTTGTGACAGCCTGTTTCAAAATTTTGATGATATGTCACCATATTGACCCTGTGTCCTGATTCATATCTGTTCAGAAATAACAGAATTATTAGCCCACTTCTGTCCAGAATTGTGTAAAATTCATGAGCCTTGCGGTGACAGGGGCATACCCAGAGCAGTGTCAAGGTCCACTTGCTCAACAACAGTGTCACCCACAGCACTAGCCAGATGTGCTTTAGGACACAATGTCGAGCCCTAGACATAGAGAGTGAGATCTACACTCATACTTCCCAAAAATATTACCCAGACGAGAAAGCAGGACAAGTAGATAAAATTAATTCATCGTCTCACAAACAAGAACATTAGCCTTGGACATGGGACCAGGGAAAAAGCAGTTAGAAGGAAGCCCTTGGCAGCACACCGGCACCTCCAGGACGTGGGCAAGACTGCATTGCATAGATGGGACAAGCTCCCATGTCACCCTCTGAAACACCATCCAGATCCCCAAATGCTGCTGCAGGAAGCGCCTTCTCTTTGCAGAAGGTGCCAGTCAGACGCTCTCTAATGCACTGTAGGAAGCTAGAGATCTTAAAGCATCACGCACTGAAATTAAAGGTGAGACTAAAGGTGAGACTCTGCAGATGAGCACTAGGTAAAGGGGTTTTTGGCAAGTTGACGTTTCATGAAGGGGTTTGTTCTGAAACAGTGGACCATCATAAATAAATACATAAATAATTTCATATGGGACTATTTGGAAAGCCAAAACCCCCTAAATCACATCCTACATACAATGAAAATGATGGCTTTAGCAAACAAATATGTAATTTTCCCTATTCATAAATATCATACCTATTCATAAATACTGCTGCATGAGCAGTGCGATATTGTACTCCAAAATGTACAAGTATTTGTTTGGCGTGTCTGTATTTTTGGTTCAGAGAAGCATTTTTTGTATGCCTTGTAATTTGGAGTAACTAGTATTTTACACGAATATACTCTTTTAAATTGACTAGTGAGCATGTAAAGAAAATAGCCCACCAACAATCCAGGAATCTGAGGCATATGACTGCAATTAAATTAATTTCACTGATGTTTCTAAAAGAGCATGAAAAACCACCAGCATGAAGACCTTAATATTCCCCGCTTCTTTATGGTGAAAATGGCATTTTTACCCTGTGCAATTAATCTGGCATGAGAAAAAATAAGAAGTCTTTCAAGCATTCCATTTAAAGGGAATATCACAAAACAATGTCTAATTAATTTTCTG